AGCTGGGTCCAGTTTCGAACCATCAAAAATACCTTTTGATTATTAGGCAAGCATTATAAGCACTTGGCTAACCAGCCAGTCGAAAAAAAACAAAAAAACTTCATAACATTCCAATGGTGTAAAAACTGCGATACTAAGTCAATTTTATCGAATCGATGAAATGAGTATTTTTAAGAAGAGGGCTGTCGCTATTTAAACTGTGGAATGAAATGAAATGAATGAAATGAAAAATCCTTTATTTTTTCAGGCAAAGTTAGGGCCACATGGCCCTTTCTTACACTTAACCTGACATTAAAAATATAACATAAATAATGTAACATAGGGATAACTTAATCCAATTAAACATAAAATATTTAACAATTCAAGTACCTACATATCTAAAAAAACATAAAAATTTAACAAATAGAAAAACACATTCACACACTCTCGCATACACGCATCAGCAAACGCGCAAGGTAACAGTAGCCCTAGGACACGCCAGCCGAGACCATCTTCTCAAAATAGAGCTTTTTCAGTGCCGCCACAAACTGGGAACGTTTTTCAAGGGTCTTAATGTGTAGGGAAATGGAATAACCATAGTTCAGTTAAGGTAAGGTTATGTAGGTTAGGTTACAGCTTTACTCAAACATTTTTTGTTTAATTTACTAATCTATATAATATTAAAACGAAACAGTGTTTTTTTATTTCACGATTCTGAATCAACCACTCGACGGATTTTCATGATTTTTGTGTTGAAAGAAAGATAATTTTGAGAACTAGGGAATGTCGAAGCCATAAATTTAGTTTAGGGTCCCAGTTTTTTAGAAATTAAGTTTTAATTTTTAAAAAGTCTAGCAGCCGACGCTAAGATTCTAAACTAGCTTTTGGCATAAAATAATTTGCTTAACATAACAGCTGTAAACATTCAGCTTTTGTGTCACAAATTCAGCATTTGGATAAAAATGTAAAGACATACTTAGGGTTGACGTATTTATACTATGTGTAATGCTAATCATTGATACGTTCAATTCTTCTGTAAGAGGATGACAGATTAATTAAATTATACATAGTAAAATACTAGGATGGGCAACTAGGATGTTCAAATTATTTTTTTAAAGCAATCTTTGTAATCTTCGATTTGTTTTAGAGCAATATAATTTGTTTTAACTAACAGTTGGTCAAATATAAACTATGGAACTATGAGGTTATTTTATTTACTCTTATTTTGTCATTGATTATAGGAAATAAGTAAGATTAGTAGAGATAATTAGACCACAGTTTAAAATAGTATAGACCAAAATTAATTAAACCACAGTACAAATCGAGGCTCTGTACACGAGTCTTAATAAAAAAGGATAAATGCAAATTATTTTACTACTCCACTTTTCAAGGAAAGAATAGAAAAATAACAATGTTTACATGTTTTAATTCGCTATGGTAGCTTTTTGTTTACAATTTATGTTTGTCTGCTTTAACTTTGTTTGGATTAGGCCTGGAAATATTGATGTCATAAAAAGAAGATCAAGAATAATCAGGAATCACGATTATAAATTACCACCACAACCTCAGCCGGGATTTATACAAAGATAAACAGATGGATGACATAGATTGAACACAACGTCAACATTGACCTAGGATACTGCAATTAGACAAACCATCCTTTTATGAAATCGTGTTCAGTTGTGGTTACGTTTGGGGGTGCCTATATCAGCGCCCCCAAACGTGAAAATATCACTTTTATTTCAACTATGAATGTATTGTAGTTTAAATTAACTAATATGGGAAATTACAATGTACATTTTTTCAATGAGGGTGGGTAATTATCAAGGATAGAACTGATAACGGTATGGATAATAAACATTGACAATTACGTCATTAGCTTTACTAGCGTGTTTATTTTTTTATATTCCTGCTACATGTGACCAGGGGCCTGTTTCATAAAAGTCTTGTCAGAAATAATTATAAAAACAAAAAAAATCCCCTAATCTTATTGTTTTTCCAATAAGAGGTGGCGGACCTCTTTTAAAAAGACCCGATGAAATTCCAGAATCGAAATAACTCAGCCATATAACGAACGTTCATCACGTGAAAATACAAACGTGTTTTGTTCCATATCAACCATCTCTGTAAAGACCATACAAGGGCTGCTTGAACAGTTGAGGGTAGCAACCCCCGGATAGTCACGACCGTCGCATTATCAGACAAAATTGCGCCACAGGGACGCGCGCTATCGCCATCTCTTCTAATGAATTTACCGACCCTTCGCGCCACTCTACCCCACAGAACTGTCATATCAACGGGGATTATCTTTATGAAAACGGAAAAGACAAAAGTTACCACCAAGTTTCCACTGCTGAAAGTGGAATCGTCGTTTTTCGTTTTGTTGAACTTTTCAAGTTTCACCTCTACACGGTTAGATGATTCGGGGTGAATGATTAATTGAAAAATAAATTGTAGGATTGCTACGTTTATGACTTATTGTATAGATGTGGTTTAAGGTGTTTCAGCTCTATCTGTTTTAAAAATAGAGTTGTACTAGACCTATAAGACTAAGGACTGAAATAGAAGGTCATTTTTTAATTGACGCCGAATGAGTGATATTTATTGAGTACTGTAGTATTAAAACTATCATAATCATATTTTCGTTTGGGTGTTTCAAAAATATGTTTAGTAGACTAGTTTTTTTTTTTTTTTTTTTAACAATACAGATTTTAATAGAATTAATAGAATCTAAAAATAAAACATACCCATGTCATGTAGACTACATAAACAATCTTGTTCGTGTAATTCTGGGAATAAAGCAATTAATTTGGATTTATGTTTGTGTCCTTATTATATTGTTTTTCTATTTGCAATTTTACTTATCTATAATAATTATTATTCTAATCATATATTTATTTACATAAATGCATCAATAGAGTGTACATGTTTACAATATTCCCAGAAAATGAGTTGAATTTTTAGGCAGATGTTGTAAAAATCACCTTACGTTCTTGGTTACTAATTGAATAGTTTATGTACATAGTGTTATAGGTATGTTTAGGTGTTAAAAAAATTTACGAATATTTCTATGAGCTTCGTTACATGCACAAAGAGTGTTAAATGTGTATATTTTATTTTAATTTTAACTTACAAGTAAATAACTTCTTAACTAGCATCGTGCATGTTATTAAATTACCCGAAAGCACAAAAAATACGTAATAACACTTGTAATAATATATTTACACTTATACCGTTCACTCACAAGACGGTAATACATATACAAGATTGTGGGTGGTGATCGATTTCGATTGGACATTCCAATTATCACCAGACCCAATATGCGAAACACCTATTCGCCTATATTCCCTTAATATTCGCCCAATATATTTTGTGCTTCCAGGTAACTTACAAGTGACATTGCAGAAATCATTTTTCCCCTTGATCAGATGGTCATGCATCGCCTCAATATGAAGGCAATTATAATTATGATATACAATAATTGGTTTTATAGTTAAATATAATTGCATAATTTTCCTTTGGCCGTTTGCAGAAAAACACTCAAGTTGTAAATAGCTTATGAATGCCCTTGAAGCAGATTGACCATTAGATCTGCAGATCCGTAGTCAAAGATTAATTCGACTTGTTGCCCTCAGAATAACACACTCTTTCACTTGGCTACTTATATGGTGTATGAAAATACTAATACATATTTGTTAAACTACAAACGGACTAGAACTAAATCTATAACTACTATCTGTGATAGCTGTATCGATTTATTGGAAGTAATTTTGTTTTTTGCCTCGATAAGGAACAAGGTCATATTGCATGTACCTTTATTACTTCTGTGCATTCTTGTAAGTGCAAGTGCGTTATAATAAATGACCATCCATCAGATATTTACCATATTTATAGATATTTATCTGAGAAAACGTATTACTTCTGACTGACACGTTTTTTGGTTCATTGCAATTAAAATTTCAGTAAATCTTGAGTAAGTTATGTAGCCGTTTATAGTTGAATTACACGTTCATAGTTAATCTGAACAGATTTTTTTTATATTTACACATATTTACGTAAGTGTCTCATTTTTTAGTTCAATGTGAAGATCAGGGTTTCATGTCTAACCACTGACATTGACATTGGACGACATGTTTCTATCTTTAGCAAATAATCTGTAGCGTAAACTCTTGGCTAATAATTCGAGTAGACAAGTTAGTATCAGTTTAAAATTGAATTATTAGGTTTCTGGTCTCAAATGAGTAAAATGTTTAACATTTGGGAAAACAATAAGAAATGTATACAACACATCAAAATGCACCCCACGTACACTGGAAAGAATATATCTTACTGTTTAAAGTATTTTGTGCCAACCGAGAAACTATATATTTGAAACTATTCTTTGGATATTACAACCTAATATTTAATCATAAGTAGAAAAATCTGCTCAAAAAGAGAAGACATTGTTTAATGTTGTGTTTGTTGACTAAACTTTTTAATTCACGGTTTAAATGTACTATGTTTAAATTGTCATGTCTGGTTTAGTGCTCGTCTTCAAATCTGAAGGTCGCTGGTTCGATTCCAAGTGAGACAGTTTCTAGACCTAGATAGCATTGGGCTATTAATAATATGTCGACGTTAGATGGTTAACAAGACCAGGATTTGGACAGTTTCCTAACAAAATCGAGAATAAATGTCACTGGCGTTGGTAGACACAATAGATACTACCTTACAAAATATTACTACCTCATAGATTTCCCTGTATACAAACTAATGCTTCTCCCTTGCTATTGGAGGACCAAAACAAATATGATATGGACATGGTAAAATTGGCCCAAAAAAGGAAATTCAGTTGCCATAGCGCACTCATGATACTACAACACCCAACTCCTGGATATAGGGATGATTTGTTGTCGGCGTCATGAAATTCTAATCTGCAACCAACACGAAAGACAATCTACATGAGCAAATTTCACAAAAAGACGAAAAACGTTGATCGTCAATCAATGATGTTTTAATCCACGATGTATTCGTGCTACTACCCAGAATCCTTCAGAGTCCAGACACTTCCTGGCGCTGGCGGGGTCACTGAAGACACCCTTGGTCCTGGTCCTGATCCTGGTCTGGCGCCATCTACTTGCTGAGTCATCCTCACTAACAACCACTAGACTCCTCCCTACATTAGAGATCCGAGATCTATCAGTTTCCTACTTTTTGCTCCGGTTTGGAGTTTTACTTCTGTGAAAGTTATCTTCCCGTGTAAACACGAAGAAATCAACTCGAGTCTATTAGGGTTGAGGATAGAAAAGACAGTATACGAATAACTTGTGATTGTTGATTTTGATTTGTTGAAGTGGTTTGTTTAACTTTTAAGCAAATAGTTCAGAAATAATTTATTTCAAATTGGATGTTAGCTGGGGTGGTAGGGTCCCAGTATTGTCTGGTATTGTTTAAATCAGCTGTTTCTATTGTTGCTTTTTGTCTGGTATTGTTAAATCAGCTGTTTCTATTGTTGCTTTAAGGGATAGCCTCATAGGTGGTCATCTTTCCAAAGATGTTTCAGGAAAATCCAACTAGAAAATATATGCTACGGTTTGTATAACCAAGTGTTGTTTTCACCGAAGTATATTTGCTTCTTCTCAATGCTTGTAAATAGTGGAATATTGATTTTACCTTATACCCAAACCCATAAGAGAGGTTCTTCTAATAACTAATTGATTGAACGTATACATAAAAATTGATCAAATATATATATATTCATTGTATATTTTACAGGCCTACACGACATTTACTCCTACAATAAAGTATTGAATACTGTAAAACTCATTTGAAAATTATTATTAGGACTCATAAGGTGTTTATTTTTTGGTCCCATGTCGAGGTTTTAGATAATTTAATTTGAATTATAACTTGGGAAACTCAAGTATTCACAGTAAAATTGAAATCAAATAAATTGTTCATTGTAAAACAATATTCATGATGTAAAATACAATAGTATTCGAGTCGCACAGTGTTGTTTACATAAAAAATATGTATATAGAGGTTTTGCTTCTCTTACAACTCATTCAATCTATTTGCAACCTTACATTTAAAAATATTCTCACACTGAAACCAATTTTACCCACTAGGACGTCCTTTTGTTGTCATCTCCGCTCGATATCTTCCAGTAAATGGGATTCGATACAAAACGTATCTCGTGAATGGACGGTGGTAGGCGGGGTAGGGAGGTGTCAGAGACAAAATTTGTTTACGGTGTCAAAACTATCAGCTGCAGACGGAACTCTCAAAATCAGCTGATCCGACGGCCTTCCGCCTCCGCCTAGTGTCAGCTACATCCGGTGTATCGATCCCGGGGGTGGGGGTGTATCTGGGGAAATGAGCTGGAGTTGAAGCCCAATGGAAATCGTCTGATGTTGATCCTCCTGGAAACAGAAGAGACTAGCCGTAAACATTATTTTCATACAATTACCTGACAAAGTGGGCTTCCTTGCACTGATTATAGTATGCCAAGTAGCTAACTGCTGCATTTACTTACTTTTCCGCACTCATTTGACTTTTGCCGCACTCGTTTTTTTGCCGCACTCCAGTATTCCAACCAAACAACACAAAACAGTGTGCTCTTATTAGGAATGTAATACGTGTATGCTTGAAAATAAGTTGGCAACACGACTAGCTTGGTGCAGAATTTCCAATTTCGTTCAACGCTTATTTAACCTAACTTAAAATCGTGTTGTATAGTGTTTGAAAGACTAATTATTTAGGGAAAATATAATGTGTAACGCGAGTGAAAAGTACATTTGCTGCATTTGAGAAACTTTCCATCCTCGTCTTCGGCTCGTGCAAAATATTAAACATTTCTTTTATGTGCAGCAAAGTGCCACTTCTCACACTAGTTACACAAATAACTATTGTTTACAATGTTGCCATAATTTAAGAGCGAAAGGCTTGCCACATGTGTGCGTAAAAACCGTTTTCTCCTCCCCCTAAAAGCTCTTATAAATAAAATATACGCCAATCTACCTAAAGTATTGTTTTGTAAGCTCTATATAAATATAGAGCTCATATTTATATACTACTTTACAGTTTACTATTTATTTCTTGATATTAGTCCAACTTTTTAATGTATGTAACTAAATTAAAGCAGTAAACTGTGGTTTGTCCTCTAGTGACCAAAGAGTAAAATGCGCACTGTAAAGATCAAAACATTTGTAGCCAAGTAAGCCTAAGGTCATCATACACAAAGGAGGGTTTGAGTGGACAATGGTTTTTAATTTAATCCGTTACCACAGCAAGATTAATTACCATACATAAATTATAAGGTTGATTTTTACCTTTAACAACATATACATAAATTTGAAACTAAATTCATGAAATTCTTGGTTTACCATTTACATTTTATCATTGCTTGGTAGTGGAGTTCAATTTTATAAACATCTCAAGTTGAATTAATTACATTGTCCGATAACAATGGAATTAGGCCTAATCAGTTACATTTTATCATTGACTATATATACCTACTATACTATACCTGCAAATATATATATATATATAGTCAATGATTTTATCGAATGTTTTTGGGTATCCGTGTTCGAACGCCTTACTTAGTAATTTTTACAAACCTAATTTAGTTTTAAAGCTTGAATTATATTCGTTGCGTCGATTTTTGTCCAATTAAATTGTCATTAAATTTCTTTCTGATGATCTAATGTAACACCATGTCTTTTAAATATATCAACAATACAGATGGAAAAATAAACGTATTTATAAACTAACTATACAAACATATAATGCTACGCCCTACGAACACTTTTGTAAAAGTGAAATGTAATTACAATTTGCAATAAAAAGCCGTTAAAAATATTTTGGTACTAAAACATTGGTTATAAAGGCAGTATTCAAATAATCAAAAGGTGCCTCAAATACATGCGTTGCAATTCTGCACGGCTCCGGAGCCATAATCTCCAGCCATAAAAGAAGAACGGATAATTAATTTTATATTAATTTATCTACTTTGCTTTTTTATATAAATTATTTTTATTCCGTACTGTTTTGCAATAGGTCACTTTGTATTATTTAGGTTTGAAAGTACAGTACACTAATTTAACTAGGTAATTTATTGACATATGCCATTTGTTACGTCCCTAAGACAATAATACCTTGATACCTTGAACCTTGATTATGTATTGGTCTACTGCCGTTAGCTGAATACTATGAATATGAAAATAAATTTAAATCCGCGCTCTGTTTAGTTTTACCATAGTCCCTAAACAAAAACAACCCCGCCGTAGCAAATCTTGCAAAATAATCTAATTTCTATTTGCCTGATTGAATTTTCAATTAAATGTTCTTAAAAATGTTAGGTTTATTCCCTACTTAATTAACAGGCTGAGTGATTACTTAGGTATGTTGGGCACAGGGTAGGCAATGGAGTATGTTTTCAGTGCATAATTAATGACATTAAATAAATGTATGAAATAAATAAATTTGCCAAATCTGTTCAAAATATATCGTAAATAAGCACTACAAAAAACTAAAAACGTGTACCCATTATAATAAGATAGGATTTTCAGATTTACAATATTTAGATTTTTTTCCCAAACAACCAAAGCTATTAACTATTCAATTATACTTAATTATTCGTTTTTAGCTCTACCTAACATTGCAAAATGTTATGTTTTGATTGTCTAGGGGAAATCAATATTTTATCACATAACACCCTCTTACATGTCTGATGATGCTGGTTCGCGGACTCTATAGAATCAGCATAGGTTTACACGTTTGTGCCAAATTTTATTAGAATCGGATGATTATTACTGGAGTTATCGTAATAACAAACAAATAATAAAATATTAAATTTTTATAAAAAATACAAAAGCTTATTCTGTGGACATGGTGGTTTGTGGCAAACACACAGAGGGCTTGACACCAACATTAGTTTTTTTCTTATTGTATTAAAAAAAATTGAATTGTGGTACCTAGAACAAAAAAAAACATTTTGTTCTACTAAATATGTAAACTCATATTAGAGAATTACAGAGTTCATTATGTACATTGTGCAAAAGTATGTGTTATTTTACTTCTCATAGCCATATAATTTGAAAGTGTAGACACAAACACAATCGTAATGAACAAAATTTTTCGATTTACTAAACAACTGCTTGTACAATTGCAAAACCGAAAACAAGATGTAAGTTGTTTTGAGAGCTTATCTTTACATGTAAAGTATTTCCGTTTCGTAGCTTAGTTTGCTCAAATGTTGCAATATGACGAAAAATATCATTCATGGGGGCAAAAGTGGCTTTTCAGCCATCGCTTCGTTTTTCTTAAACTTGAGCTCGGGTCGAAAAGAGACACTTTACGTCTTGGGGACTAAATATACTAGTTCCTTATTTACTATATTGGTGAGAGTGTGTTTGGCTATTAAACATAACCTAACTTGTAAATAATCAAATAAAAATACCAAAAGGTGTCTAGACGCCAAGGCCTACATTGTCAACTGACTGTAGATGTAAGATTTGAGATGGCTGGTTGTGATGGTCGGACGGTTGGATGGTTGTGGTTGCTGCAGACGGTTGATTAGGCCGCATATGATTGGTGTGAGGCGCCGAAGATCAACAGCTGACGCGGCAACAACCACTCATTGTCTGACCAGTCAAAACATCTTTGTGTGAGTGTGACTGTCTAGACTGCCTCTTCAATACACAGCCCTTCATACCGTCGAAGCTTTGGTAGTAATAAGACCAGGGTTTGGGTTTGGGCAGTTTCCTTGCAGCTTAAATGTGCCCCTAAAATCATGTTTTAACACAATCATCTATGTACTCAATAGACTTCAGGATTCTAACAAACTAAATAAATTGCATTTGTTTATTTTGAGGCATATCCCCCTTAAAATACGTTTTCCTTGAGGGGATGTATGGACTTAACTAAAAGTTTTGAGTTATTTGAGGAATGCATTTTGAGAGACTTTCAATAACGGTTAGTTAGTAAAAATACCCCCGCCGCAGCAAACCTGCCGACTAACTGCTGACTAAGCGAATTCTATTATGTAGTCTGAATTGATTTTAATTAAATCTATTTAAATAACATTAGGTTTAACAAGAAGCTAGGTTTGCTGCTACAAGGAAACTAGTAAAGTGTGTTTTTGTAAAA